CGAGATCAAGGAGGAGAGGAAGATCCAGAAGCACAAGTCGCTGCCCAAGGTGTCCGGGGGCTGGGAGCTGGAGGTGCACGGCACCGAGGCCCGGCTGGTGCGGAAAAAAGATCGCCGGTGAGAAGTGAGTGTGCCCGGGGGGTCCCTCCGGCGGGCTCCTGCCCCGAGAGGGCCCGTAGATAAACCCCAGCAGCCGGGTGTTGGGCTGCCGTCGTGTTCTTCTCCTCGCTGCCTGCCCGGTGGGTGCAGACCCGCCCCAGCGCCGCTGTTGTACCACCTGGGGCGAAGGCACTTTATTTTTTTACCCACACTTGCTACTGTCTTGTGTGTTACAAAGTTTCACGGGGTCTTCCTGCATGAAAATATAACAGTTCAGTCTCCTGGAAGCTGAAACGCTCTTTCCTGAGAGCTGTTGGAGGAAGGTGGCTTTGCTCGGGCGGGTGTTTTCAACTGCAGTTAACTCTCTTGGTCACGGTGTATGGGCTCAACGCCCGTAACGCTGTCCCTGTGACAAAGGCTTTAAGCAGAGGACATTTTGATGTTTGATGGGTATTTTTTGAATGTGCTCAGAGTAACAGCTTCTGTTTCTTTTGGAGGATAACGGTCACATTCAACATCAACAACAGCATTCCACCGTCAGTTGATGAGGAAACACAAGAAGAGCAGCAGAAACCTGACGAACAGGAGGTGACTGAGTCTCGATGTGCGCTCAGTGACGGGTACACAGAGGACAGTTAGAACCTGGCCCTTAGCGTTAAGGGTTGTTTTTTTTTTTCCTCTCACTTGATGTTTGGGAGCATTAAGTCACAAAATGCAGGTTTTTCTGGGGTAGGTGTCAGTTGGCTGCGATGATCCTCTCTGCAGCAGGAAGGCAGAGCAGGGTGAGGGGGCTCTATGAGGAGGAAGGAGAGGGACTTGGGTATTTTTTGCCTTCCCAACCCCCTGCAATAAATACTGCGGTTTGTACACAGCTGCTGTAACTCACGGTGCAGGTGGGTAACATCAGCAAATCACAAAGCTGTTTTTCTCACTCCTGTTTAATAACATTTAGTAAAAATACTGGCAAAAACTGTAAATGAGCAATATAATTTGAGGCAGATGGCTTGATCTGCAGTGACACTGATGTGGAGCGTGTCAGGAATGCAGCTGCACCTGGTTTGTAGCCATTAACTTCCAGTTTCTGTGTGTCAGTGTTTATTCCAGCACATTGCGCTTGGCTGGGAGGGACAAGACTAGGGACACTTGTATGTTGCGTCCCTTCCCAGGCACACTGTGTCCGCTGAGCAGGCACAGGGCACTTGATCTGTGCATGTGTACGTGTGTTTGGCGGTCCCAGTGCCGAGTTTCCTCCGTGAAGCAGGGCAGGCATGAGCAGCTCCTGCAGTCAAAACAATGCCAGTCTGTTCGCATTTCTTGTCACCTCAGAGGAACCCGTCCAGGCTCTCTGGGTTGTCAGGGGTGGCAGATGCTCCCGCTGCCGTTTTACCCTGTGACCAGCTGCAGAGAAGGGGCTGAAGGGCAATTGGCGAGGCTGGGGGAAGCGTGGGGCGCCCTGGCCAGGTCTGAGACCCCAGAAAGAGGGTGACAGGAACAACCTGCGCTTGGGCGGTGTGGCTGGGCTTGTACTGTCACCGCTTGGGCTCCTGTTCAGACTCCAGTGCTGATGCAACTGTTCTCTTATTTAGCCTGAGCTTACATCGACTCCAAACTTTGTTGTGGAAGTGATAAAAGATGACACAAAGCAGACCCTTGTCCTGGACTGCCACTATCCGGAGGACGAGGTGGGTATCGAACTGGCCGTGAGTCAGCCGTGGCCGGCTCTGGGCTGTGACCTCTGCGTGTGTCCTCCTTGACTGCGGTGTACTTGTGCCACTGTTGAATCTCAACTGTTCTTTATAATCTGTTGCTTTCTGAATCTGCAGAAAATGCAGTCTCCTCTTATCTCTTTCTTGCCACAAAAAAACCAAAAAGGCTTTGTGTTTGCAAGAACCGGCTTTGTGTTTGCAAGAACCGGCTTTGGGGAGATGTTCCATTGCATTCCTCACAACCTGACCTGGCGTTTCTGATCAGCTGCTTCTTGGGCAGTTTATTGAATTCCATTAGAGAAGGGAGCTGTGGGCTTCATTTTAACAGCGTGACATACAGTGTATTAATTGCAAATCTCATTGTTGTGAGGTGTCACAAAGTATGGATGAAAAAAAAAAGGCCGGGGGGAATAAAACTGAGAGATTTGCTTCAGGCTGATCTTTGTGGTTGATTTTGTAAACCTGAAATGAATGATTTATGCAGCCAGTCCTAGCTGAAAAAGGCTAGACATGTAGAACCATGCAGAAGAGGTTTTTACATCTTCGTAAAAATCAGGTTGCTGGTTTACATCAGGTCACTTCTGGCAGCATGGGCAGGTAGTCTGACCTCGCAGGGAATTTCCTGTGTCCTTGTGCATGTCTGTGCTTGTCTTCACAGGCAGGCGTGGACTGGGGAGAGGCAGGGCTTTAGCACCGGCCTCGGGGTTTTGCCTGCAGTGTAAGGTTCCTGGCTTCAGGATGAGATGGCTGAAGGAGCCCCATATTTCGAGCTAATTGTATGTCTTGTGTCTCATCTCCTGTTGCAGGTTGGACATGAGGGAGAGGAAGAAAGTGATATTTTCACAATTCGGGAGGTCAGTTTCCAGCCCGCTGGAGAATCAGACTGGAAGGACACCAACTACACTCTCAACACGGACTCCCTGGACTGGGTAAGAGCTGCTGACACGGCCACAGGCTGCAGAGGGCACTTGGGCTGATCGCGCCTGGCTGCCCCTTGGCTCCTGAATTACGAATGAGCCCTGTCTCGATGCCTGAGGCCGGGGAGTCCCCTGCTCTGCCCCAGCTTGTCATGAGAACGTGGTTCTGCTGCACACAGAGGATTACTGCGTGGTCCCAGCAGCTGTGCTGTGCTGGCCACATCACTGCCTCTCAGAGACCATCCTGTTGGAACTCACTCTGGTCCAGGTTTTATAAGCTGGTGATTTCCTAGCAGCTTCATTAGGTTTTAGAGATGCTTTGACAGTTGCCTGGGTATCTTTTAACCTGTTAAACGCTGATACCACGTGTACGTGTCTCTGTTTTCTGGGGTTTCCAGGTGTGTTCTTATAGTGCTGACACTAAAAGCTAATATGGCCGAGAATCTGGCAACTGCTTATATGTTCTCAGTGCCAGGCTTTCAGACGCTGAAATCTTAGTTTAATCACACGATTAAAACTTGACTCCTCAAGTGTATCTCTCTTTGGGAAGCCTTCCTTTTAAAATTGGTTAGTGTGGTCTAGAACATCCCACTTGGCTTTTTTTTTTTTCTCCTCTCTGACTTGAGACAGAAAATTAATTTTAAAATGTGTACCACTTGTGATCAGATAACAGAAGTCCAGAAGTGATCATTTGCTCAGTAATACTGGTCTGTTTTTTTTTTTAAAAAAAAAAAAAAAAAAAGCATGACAGGTATTAGCATTACTGCACTAAGCAGCAGTAGTGAATCTGTTCTCATGAGGAGCGAGCGTGAACCCACAAGCATTAACACATGCTGGAGTTGCAACAGTATGAATCTGTTCTCCTGAGGAGCGAGGGTGAACCCACGAGCATTAACACATGCTGGAGTTGCAACAGTTAAGGAGGATTAAAAAGAAGAAGAAAAGAGGCAATGATTGTAAAAGATTTAGTCTCTCAAATATTTACATCAGATAGCACCTTTCCAGACGCTGTTAAAGCAGTTCCCCCCCAAGGCCACAGCACTGTACAGGGGACAGGCAGAGCTCAGCCTGTGTCATCGGTGACAGACTTTACCTGCTGGCTCCTGCAGTCAGTTGATCATCTCCAGAGTGCAGCTCGTTTGTAATGCTGGGTTGGGGTTTATGTGACAAAGTTTGGGTGACCTTTTCTGTGTCGCCCTCCCTCCATGTGCCACACCCAAGGCCAGGCCTGTCACGACGGGATGGGGAGGTGCCTGGTCTCCTGGGAGAAAGAAATGCCGGCTGCTATAGGACATTTTAAAATGTACGAGGTGTGCTCTGCTAAGGATGTTTCCTGTTCATTGCTTCCAGGCGCTGTACGATCACTTAATGGATTTCCTGGCTGATCGAGGAGTGGACAACACGTTTGCTGATGAGTTAATAGAGCTCAGCACGGCACTGGAGCACCAGGAGTACATCAAATTCCTTGAAGACCTTAAAAGTTTTGTCAAATGTCAGTAGGATAGGCTAGGAAACTGATCATCAAGTGTGGGTATTCCACAGCACTGCTCAGCCAGCAATACCCAAATATATCTTCACAACAGATAGGGAGAGTAAGTACATTTGAATTTGGAAATCAGCATAATGGAGAATGAGGATTCTTGCTTGTATTTGGGAATTTGTATTTATGTTGCAGCCCAGATCAAATTCTCTAACATTACGGTCCTATGGAATTGCCTCACCCTACTTTGGTTGTTTTTGTACAATTAAGAATGAATGTGAAGAATAAAATCTGTTCAACATATCACTGAAAACGGGTGGTTTCTCTTCTTCCTGCTGTACCACTGCTGACCAGAGAGCTGCCATGGAACACGGCTAGTGTTTGTGCCTGAGCTGGTGTTAATACAGAGGCTTAAACATGGTGTTTGAGGAGCTGTTTAAAGAGGGATTGCTGCCACAAGCTGTTACATTAATATTCATGTAACTATTGTAGAAAAATACCCCAGGGAGGCTGGAGCACTTCAGTTCCCGCAGGATGTCAGAAATGCTGCGGATGCGGGTGCTGCTGTAGGGCAGGAGCTGCTCAAACCCCTATCTCCAGTTGTTGCCGGAAGGTCACATTAAGTTTAAACAGAAACCAAAGCTGAAGTCTGCTGTGAGATCACTGGTGCATTGTTAAAGACAACAAAAGGCTGAAATAAACTAAATATATTTATTTCAAAACATATGCTGTGCCATCAAAAGTGCAGGTCAAGGCAGTACCGCCTTTTCAAGTATCTTTTTGGCACAGCAGTTACAAGTATGTACATAAAAACACTAGCAGCTCTGGGGGGATTTTTAGTCTTGAAATCCTTCCAGTAAAAAAGCAGCAGCTGAATCAGCTTACAGGAGAATCGTCCACGAGTCGCAGACCTTGACAAAAGGTAAGTTGAACAGAGAAGCTACAGTAACATGCAAAATGAATTACTGATGTTCAAAAGTGTGAAGTGCTCTGCTCACCATGTAGGTACACAGTGATTTTACCTCAGCGGCAAAGCTCAAAACTTGCTAGCTCTAGCTTGAGCCCAAGGGACAGTACGTGTTTTCCAAGAGGTACGGACAAGCTTTTTGAGGAGGCTTAAACTGCAGAAATTTTTCACGAAGCACTTATCTGAACAGCTGCTCCACACAAGACTTAGAAGTTGTTCGTTAAGGTGTGAGACAGGTAAGGCACGAAGTTTGAGAGGTCCCTGAAGGACTCCCAGCAGCTAAGGTAAGCTGTGTAATTTGGCTTTTCCTTCTGCAGTGACTGGTGGCCAACACTAAAACCACTTCCAAGGAGGTTTGTGGAGAAACAGCAACACAAACCCCTGGGATCAATGGACTTGTCTTGCCCATGTAACTGAGGAGCGGATCCAAGCAGAGATCCTGTCCAGGAACTTGACATTTAACTCACCGGGCAGCTCATGAGAAGACTGGCTTCCTCCTCCATCCCGCTGGTAACTGTGAACTCCGGGTTGTGAAAGCACCTGTAGCTGTGCTCTGTGAGAGTGTTTTCTAGAAGTGACCGAAGCTTCTCCTCCGTCATACCCTGAGAAAAATTGGGTTAACAGAAATCCTCCCCTGGAGGTGCTGTCTGTAGCTGAGAACTGCCTCTCCGCAGCAGCAGCGCACCTGGGCAGTCACAGTCACCGCGTTACGCCCAGCGCAGCGTACCTGCGTGCTGATGTGTAATCCGCACTGGCAGAAAACCAAGTGATTCCTCACAGTCAGGTTATTCCTGGAAAGAGCACACAATGAGCATCCCCACAACCATCAGAACAAAGGTAGATTTTATCAAAAAGCCTGTTAGATTTAGGAGATCATTGCTCAGGTTTTTTGTCTTGTTGAAATTAACAGCAACAGTAGCCTGTTTGCCCATAGCTTTTGCCTGTTCTAAGCCCAACCTGCCAGAGGGGAGCGGAGAGCCTCACTCCAGTGCCAAAGGCTTTCTTACTTTCTGCACACTGGGCAGACGACCTTGTCGCTGGCATCCAAGCCATCAAGCATCGCATTGAGACATTCTTCATCAAACTGCAGACTTCGCTCGTACTCTTCTATAACCAACTGTTCTGCAATAACACAGCAAAACACCCTCAGGCATCTGTTCCGAGCTTCAGATAAAGCAGCACACGGGAAGCTGCTCGGCGGATGGAGGCTGGGGCAGCCACTAGTTTCTGAACTTTTCTTTCTTTGGATCAGATTTCTACACTTGAGGAAAACATTCCTGTTAATCCAGTTTTTCCTGTGGCTCAATCTTTAGCCACTCTCAAGTGGGTGACTTTCCACTTTCCACCCAACAATTTAGAAAAATCGTGAATTCATTTGGGCAGGCTCCTACAGCCCCCAAACACCTCAGTGCTGTTTCTCTCGTCTCCTCTCTTTGTAGCTTCTCACAGACCTTAAAGTGCCACTTAAACTCTTAAAACTGTCACAGAGGGTCTCAATGCATTTGAGAGGCTACAGAGATTTCTAAGGAAGCTCTTCAGTATCACGGGGTCTACAAGAACCAGAGTGCAGCCTCAGCTAGTCTGAATTACTAGGAAGTCAGGAATCTTACAAATCAAACAGGAGTCAGAAAGCACAGAGACCTTACCTTGTAAGATCAGTTCTTGTTGGATCTCCTCCAGAACCACCAGCTCATCAGGGTCCTCTGGCATCTGAAAGGTGCATCAGTCAGTGATTCTACCAGCCTGGCAACTTTCTCACTTAACTCCCAGTACCTGCCTGAGCTGTCACTGCAGCGTAAACTCCCTCTGCTCATTCCTCTGTCTGGTAAATCTCTGTATGTGCAAAACCAGGCACTGGGTGAAGCAGTCTGTGCTCTGTCACCCTGCAAAGCCAGCCACCGCAGATCAGAGCACAGCCGCTCCAAGAACTTGCTGTTTAAACACTGGAGTTTTATTCCCGTTCTCAGGAGCAGTCAGGACGGACCAGCTCTGAAAACCACAGCTGAGGAACCCCACCCACCCTCTGCCGCGATTCACAGCTTGTGATGGAAACAAGAAGCTCCCCCCGCCTGGGTCCAGAGGAAAAACCCTTTCTCAGCACCACACCCGCACTAGCTGCAGAGGCAGGAAACCCACATTCGCTGAGTTTTGCCAAATCCAGCCTGCATCGGCCCCAGAGCCGGTACTGACCTGGGCCAGGGCCTCGGCTCCCCCG